TACAAAATTTGTTATAATATTAAAAAAAATTAAAACTAATTCAATAACAAAAAATGGATATAAACTTCTAAATATATAGAATATTGTCCAGATAACATCATCTTATGATCTTAAGGTTCTGACCCTAACATCTTCCCTGTAGGGAGGTTTCCTTGCATTATCATTTTTGGCCCACTTTTATACCGTCTCTTACATTTATAGTGCATTATGGTTATTTGGTGCATTGTGAAGATTATACGAAGGAACCTGTTATTTTCATGACTATTTGAAGTTATTTGTGTATTAGATGAGTTGTTTAAATTCAATATTTATAACAATAAATTTTTATTTGATAAATAAATATTTAATATATGTTTTATCTAGTAACTTTAAAAATATTTTACAGATAAAAAAATAGTTTAAAAGAATATTTTTGTTGAAAAAAATTGAGTGCTAAATAAAAAAATTCTATAGATTAAATAAATATTTAATATATATTTTGCTGAAGAAATGCGTATGTGAAATTCTTAAAGAGTGATCACATCAATATAATTTGTGGAAAATTTGTTTAAACATTTTTTTTGTTATTTCTCGTTTGTTCCAAAACAGTACTGTTGGGTTATGTTGGGATACAAATGAGTAATTAGGATGTTGTTAGACAAGTGATCGAGGAAAATTAGAGAATTTTTTATTTTGTTATTATTTTGTATTTTGTTACTTGCTTCGATGATTCTAGATCCTCTATCATGTACTAAAATAGGCATTTTGCAACTGAATGGGTAAGAAAAAATAAATTAAGTAAAGAGCTTGTTTCACGTAGGAGGCCCCTTCCTTCGAAGAAGGTATAGGAGGTTCATTACTTCGAAGAACGTTTATATTGATTCTTAACATGGGGTCAAACACAAAATGAAATCATTTAATGGAACACATGTATCATCAAAACCGCAAAATCCTTGGAGGTGGCCCACAATCGAAGCCACCCAAGCTCTTTCTTAAGTTTCGAGGAAAATATTTTTGATATTTCTAGACCACAAAGTACACGGTACTCCTTTTAATAAATATAGTAAAAAAGTAATACTTTTACATTACCCTTGCCTTTATATTTATTTTCATCATATCTCACATTTTTTTTCATGTTTGGACAAGGAGTATATACTTTAGGAACAGTGAAAATGAGATCAGTTCGAAAAAAAGGAAGAAAAGCCTCTCATGTACACATATTATGAAGCAGGAAGATCTTTTAATAAACAAATAAGGTTTCAATTTTGAGGTCAACTATACACGCTATTGATCACTATTATACTTCCTTCTTGTTGCATTGTTCGACACTGTTATGGACTTATTTTTGCCATGATTGGATGATTGATATTGATTTGAACCTAACTCATGTAAGATCATAGGCTTAACGAGTCCAAAAAATCATTATTTAGTGAAGAGGTAAATGAAGTCATTCCACATAACTTGATGATCTCGTAACCTACAAATATTACCAACTGCCCAGACAATTATAGTTATGCGACATTAGCTGCTCATAGCACCATGACCTCCATATGAATCAATGACTAAAGGACATGCATCTGCATGCCACAACATCTACAAGGACTTAACCTGACTATAGACATCTCGTCCAAAAAGTAACTTATGAAAATTATCATTCTCCACCAATAGGTACGAACACGGCCATATTAAGGCGATACAAGCAAAGTACTTTTCTACTATAAATATAAAAGCATTAAACCCAGATATGATTATTTTTTCATCAATACTTAAACACGTTATACTCTTATTGACTTAAGCGCAAGAATGCTTGCAAGTGGGTGCATGGTGGTTCCCTTTGTACTTAAACCCAAACTGTAATTCATGTGATTTCTATCGTATAACTTAAAAGAGTAAAGTGAGTATCATTTTAAAGGATGTAAAATTGTGTCGTTTTAAGTGAGAGAAAGAGACAGATAAATGAGGAGAGAGAGTGGACAAAAAAATAAAGGTGTGAGCCCCACCTCTTTGTGAGAGTGAAAGGATATAAATTGTGTCATTTAAAAGGACAAACATTTTTCCCAACTTAAAAATATAGGCCCCTTGTCTTTCTACCTTCAACTTTCAGATTAATAATTTTAGGATCAAATATTTCTGTTTTGTTGAAAAAGAAAAGTCAAAAGGTCACACGATTGTTTAATTCTGAAAGGGTAAGCAAATAGGAATAGTAGTAGGGGTGTTCATCAACCGATCCAAACCGATTCAAACCGCGGTAACCGAACCGAAAAACCGATAACCGAATAAACCGAAAATCGAAAAACCGAAAACCGATTAAAAACCGCAAATTTTAATTGGATTGGATCGATTTTTGGATGGGTTGATAAAAACCGATCCAATCCAAACCAATCCAATATATTAATTCCTCTCTACCTACTTTGGTCTTTACCTAATCATAGCCTAAAAATTTCTAAACCCAAGAAAAAATCTAGTCACATCTCATCAACAAAATTTTATCTTTGTAGAGCTTCATATTTCATTTCCAAAAAAAAAAAAAACTATATTATAGTTTATTAATGCTTTTGTATTTCAAAAAAGATAAATTTACTAAGTCAATATATACAAAAGATGTTATTTGCACAATAATCATGAAATAAATTTTAAGATTTTCAAAAAACCGAAAACCGATCCAATCCAAACCGAAAAAAATTGAATTGGATCGGATCGGATTTGAAAAAAAATCAAAACTGAATGGATGATAATATGATCAAACCGAAGGAATTGGATCGGATGATTTTTGCTTCCAAAACTGATTCAATCCAGACCGCGAGCACCCATAAATAGTAGTAAGTACATGTTGGGGATTGAAAACATAATTTGAATGGGTCTTGAATCTGGACTCATAAGTTGAACGAATCCAATGAAACATTGTTAAGAATTTAGAAAGCCCCATGGGTATTAAAGCCTTCGGGTAGAATTATGGACTCTTTAGTTGATCCCAAACAGGTTATATAGTTAGCTTTTTTCAGTGTTGATCTACCCAGCCCAAACGGAAGAAAACTCTAGCTATGGCCTTTGAGCTGGCCCAATGACTTTATAAGCTTAGTTTGTCGAATTCATGGCTCACAGCCGACCCACGATAGCTTCGTAGTTAATCCTTTCCCCGATATTTTTCTTGGATGACCCTTCGGGCAGTTTGGTACAAGTTATGTTTTAGGATTCTCAAAAAATTGAAAGTGATAATCATATTTATTTATGTTTGGTATAAAATTTTTATATTTTTTTTAGGAATCTGATTTTTTCGGAATTTTATTTTGTGTAAATTTTTTTGAAAATACCATCCAGAGAGTGATATTCTAGGATTTCTTTGGCAAAGAAAAATTTAATACAACTAAACATAGCATTAAGAAAATTAACACAATATTCCTAGAAATATTTTATTTTACCAAACAACTTTATAGTAATATTTTTAGAAAACTCATCTTTTCATCATATTCCTGAAAATAGTAATTTTCGGATTAAAAAAAAAATTTCTTTACCAAACGCTCCCTTTGAGAATAATAACAAGAGCATAGGAAAATGTGACAGGCCTACCCATGTCATAGTATATTTGGGCTTGCAATGACAATTTTATTTAAATTCAAAACTCAAAATCTATTGTCAATTCTAATCAGAAAGGGAGTGGATCCTCTCACGTAAAAATGTGATTATGTGGTCATGTTATTTGATCACAACCACTCATTGATGATGAGATAAGAGAGAGAAAATTGTATAATTTTTAAATGAATGGTTGTGATCAAATAACATGACCACTTTTTCACATAAGAGAATTTACTCCCAATCAGAAAAGATGAGGAGGAACAAAAAGAGCAACAACTACGGTGTTGTCCTATTTCAGTTCTAAAAATAAGTAAAACGAAATTATTTTCAAAATCAATTTTACAAAACTCTTCCAATTAAATAAATTTTTTTTAATAAAAAAAACTGTTTTGTAAAACACTAATTAAACAGGCCTGACAGCATTAGTCTTCTAAGCCTGTTTTTCATTTTTGTTCCCTTTAGAGCCAGGGAACAATGTTTATGATGCAAGGGTTCTAATTATTGTGCTTGGATATTTATGTGAGTGGCGTTAAAAGGCAAAGTGTAAACATTCTGAAGAATATTAGTTAAATTAAATGCTTTTTTTTTTTTAGAATCTAAATTGAATGCTTTTAAGTTGGTGGCGCACATGGACAAATAAGACATGAGTTGGATATTGTCTCTTCCTCCATCTGTTCTTTAGCTCTCTCTTATTTTCTTTGCTTTCTTGAAACAAAATTTGGACTCTTTAATTCAACGTTTGACTGTCAGCGGTATATGATTCTGGCTCTTTATGGTTCAATATTATCAATTTTCTTTCTAGTGACATGAATAATATACAATTCACATGTAACTACTATTGGAAAAACAACTTAACTCTTTTTTTAAAAGAGACAATTTACTGCTAAAGTGGATTCTGAAAAAAAAAATCATATAAGGCTAAAAAAAAAAATTATGCCGTGTGTGCTTTTATACCGCACACTGAGGTTATTTTCGAGTCAACTATCAATCGTTTAACACAAAAAAAAAATAAAAAAAAAAAATTGTAAGTGCTCAGCTAAGACCAAAACAATTATCAATTAATAAGTTTGGCGCGGAAAATTATTTCAATATTTGCCCCTGACATATTTTAAGTTCACTTGTCAAAGGAATATAAATTGTAGGATTCTCTGGTCATTCAAAGACAAGGGTTCACTGCAAATGCACAAATTGGCTAATAATGATCATGTACATTTTTGTATTATATGCTAAAAAAAAATAGTATAAATAACTAATTTTACATTGAAAAAATCTGGTTTCTTTTTTATCAGCAGAACATCTCTAAATTTGTCAAAAAGATTATAAACTTTTATATACACGTTCAACAATAACGTTCCGTTGTTACTTGACCCTTCTTTGCTGTTTGTTTGTCCTATGGTAACTATATATATACTTCAAGGACCGTAGCCTCTTTCTTAGCTGTACATTTCTAGATCCTGCTCTGTGGTTTCTCTCGTTTGCTTTCACATTTCACTCGGCTAATGCAAAAAATTCTTGTCTACTAATTTGTTTAATTTCTGGGTAAAAGCCCTGAACCACGACCACTTTTGGATTTTTGTATCTGAGAGTTCAGTTTCTTCTTAACTTGTCTCACTTTTCATTCACTGATGTTTCGAAACGGGGTTTCAGGATTGAAGGTATAATGGACGTTCGAGCACTAGCAAAGAAAAGCTGCAGGGATTGCCATACAACCATGACCCCTCTATGGAGGGCTGGTCCAGATGGACAAAGGGTAACATTCACAAAAAAGTTTCCACATCTTTGGACTATATTAACATTATCACTTTTTTTTAATCTTGATTTTGATTTTGAACTATTTTCAGTCTCTTTGCAAAGCATGTGGGATAAGATACAGAAAAAGGAGGAGGGCTATTCTAGATTTGGATAAAGGAGGAGCAAAGAAAAGTAGAAAGAAGAATAGAACAAGAAGAGGCCATGCAAATAAGGTATTGATGAATTTTGGTCGAAACATGGAGCAGCACCCATTACTTGGAAGGCAAATCAAGTTAAAAGAGGAAGAAGAGGCAGCTATGTTGTTGATGGCTCTTTCTTGTGGTTTTCTCTGTACTTATTAGAACTGCAGAGGAATACGAACAAGATACAAACACTCCCTCGGACTCTAGAATTGTTCAATGTAAAGCAGAGTGTTAACTTCACATTAGCTGTTCGTTTCTTTTGTGCTTTTCAGACATTTAAAACACAAAATCCATTTCTATCACGTTAGATCAAATACTATTTGAATCATGTTTGTGCTTGGCAAGAAATTGTTTGATATCCCATATTCCCATTCTTGTTTAATTCATTTTCCGTTCTTCCAAACCTATGTACATGATTCGCTTGCACTCACGGAATAAGAAATTGGGTCTACCCACATATCAAATAAAAGTTTATTGTAAACTTCATTGATACCGTATGATTTTGATCTATAACTAATTATTTATTTAATTCTTTATTTATTACCCGGGAACAGTATCAATGCTGCTCGTGGCCTATTGCGATGTATAAATAGATAGAGTATAGTATAATAGCTTAATCAAGTCCTTTTTCATTGCCGAGATCACTCGAGAAGGGACGTACTTTCTGCTTTGTTCTAGAGCATTTTACTGATTAGAAAGTCTTAATTCTCTGTCTAACACGTGGCAACAGATAGAACTTGTCACATCAAATGATAAACACGTGTCCAGGAAATTCCAGAAAGTCCCTTCATTTCTTTTTCTCTTCTAAGTTTTTCTATACTCGTGTTGTGCGTGTTCCTTTCCCACCAATCTTAAAGCGATCTCATCCGGTTCCCGTCCAACTCAGAATCAGAGCAATCAGAAAGCAACAACTTCAAACATGCAGTCAAGACTAGCAAGAAGATCCTCATGGACCTTATCTTCAGCCACTCGCTTTACTCTCAAACGAGGATTTTGCTCTTCCCCTCGTAGCCAAACCGCAGACCCTGCCATCCATTCCGGAGAACGAGAAGCTGGCCCCGATGTTCACAAAGAACCACCCCGAGTAAGTCATAATCATAAATTCTTAATCTTCATAACATAAAAAGGTTTGAAAAATACATGGTATATATGTACGCCTATGAATATTGCAGGGTACAAGTACAGAAGATAATGTAAAAAATGCCGCCAAGTTTGCGGAAACAAATCACGCACCTAGCATAAAAGACAAGACTTCTGTGTCTCCAAAATCTCCATTTGAACCTTCCCCAAAACTAAAGAGCACAGGGGTGAACCAGCGTTTGGACCCAAACATTCAACAAAAGCGGAGGCTGGGATCGAAAGCTTTAGAAGAAGTCAGCTGTGCTGGTCTTGATGGAACTCCATGGCCAGATGACAAAAACAAGGAACAGAGGATAAGAGAGGAACAGAGAGAAGACAACATAGATTACTATAAGCATCACAAAGCCTCACCCTTGTCGGAGATAGAGTTCGTAGATACCCGAAGGCTCCTTTCTGATTACAAGGCCGGAACCGTCGTTGCTGCAGGAAGAGGTGAGGATGTGATTGTTTGGCTGCCGGAACAGCTTGACACGGCGGAGGATTCGCTGAGGAGGGCCACTGAGATTTGGCGCCAAAATGCCATGCGTGGTGACCCTGATGCACCACATTCAAGGGTTCTCAGAGCTCTTCGTGGCGAAGATTTTTGAGACTCATGTTGTCCTCCCCCGCAACAAATGAATGTAGAAATGTGATTTATATCAATAGTAAACTTTGTCCCGTGTAATTTGTAAACATAACCCTTTCGAAACTAAATAAATGTTTAATAATTCCAACAAGTAGTAGTCACAGTGACCTGATATGGATTAGGAATAGGTTAAATTAATTTCTGACCAATATCTCAATGTACGAACATATTTTGAATATGTCATCATAATTATCAACATTTGAATTATCACATTCTAAATAAGTAATTTGCTCAATTTTTTACCTAGATGTAAAATTTATCTCAATAATTAGCTTGTGTTATGTTTTATTGATAAATGTTTATTTTATAATCTTGAGTTTATAATAAATTGTGTTTTATAAGCTTGAGTCTGTAATAAATTAGTAGTTGAAGTGCGGGACAAAGAATAAAATTAGTACAAAAATTCTAAGAATATAGTTTTAAAATTATAAATCATTAATTTTACTCGAGAAAAGTTGAAGGAATTTGAAAAAACTGAAAATTACTTTTTTTTTTTGGATTACAAAAAACTGAAAATTACTCGTTGTGGGTCACAGGTGTTTATTTTGAAAGTTAAAAATGACAATACAAAATATGCCTTATATTCTTTATATTTTTTTATGGGAAAAACTTTATTTAAAGTTATTGATTTTAATTATGTACTAGGGGTTATATGAAAAAATTTTGTTTTCTTTTCTTCTCTATCACATCAGTTAACGTAAAAGCAAAAATAAAAATTTATATTATAATTATGATTACTCGTAGTACATAAAATTGATAACTTCATACAACTTTCCTTTAAAAAAATATAAACTTTTTTTTATTCTAAAAATCAGAACACTATTTTAAAAAAGTATTCAAACAGGCCACATTTTTACTATTTGCCTTATTCATATTTAAGGAGCAGGTTATATTTACAAACCTTTTTGTTTACAAACTCTTATAAACTACACTATCTTCTTTTGAAAAAACACTAGTTACACTATCTTCTCTCGAAAAAAGATAGTGTAATTTGTAAAAATTTGTATAAAAAATTTGTAAACGGATACTTTTCCCATATTTAAATAGTCAAGCTATTTCAGCACCTCACTACATATTCAGGTCCATCTAAAACCACAAGGGGGTTCAAAGTCTGTTTACTTGAGTCCCTGGGCTAAAATTAAAGTTCCTAATCATCCGTAATCCTTTTTTTTTTTTCTTTAGCCCAATGGGCTGCGTTGCTTGAGAACTGATGTGTATTTAGCTTTGGATTTAATTTAAAGTGTATTCTTTGAAGATGATACATGTAGCCTCTTGTCGGAAAAACTTTTTTTTGTGTGGATATAATGGAAGAAAAAACAACAACAACTACAATCTGCAAAGCCTTGGGTTACTAATGCTCGTAGAATCTCTTCCTAAGATGTTCCTATAGCCTAACAGGGGTTCGATGAAGAGGTGAACATCCCAATCATCAAACTGATGGGCAAAGGAGGCTAACTAATCAGCTAGCATGTTACCCTCTCTATGTGGGTTACAACAGCATTCCAATCCTCATGCAACAAATTGTGGATTCTGTTAACAATGCCAACAAAAGGGTGAGCAAAGTGGCAGCCTTTGGTTATCAGGTTCACCGCAACCAAGCAGTCTCCATCCACCCAGACGTTTCTGCATCCTGTCTTTTTCACCTGAATAATTCCCTCAAGGAAACCTCTTAGCTCAGCAGTTAGAGAATTGCCATTGCCCAATCTGCCACAGAAGCCTGAGATCCATCTTCCAGCATCATCCCTAAGCACACTTCTAAAACTAGAGTTTGAACCATTATTGATACAAGACCCATCAACGTTCACTTTAATCCATCCATTACTAGGGTGCTTCCAACTAATATCATGGAGAGTCTTGTGCCCCTGAGATAAGCCACTAGCCGATAGTAGATTACGAGCTGAGAGGATATTGCAAACATAACTGTTAATCGCCAAAACTATTCCCCTTTGATGTGGGCTCTTGTCATTGAAGATCAGTTCATTCCTAGCCTTCCAAATATGCCAGCAAGCAACTCCAAAGGTAAGGGCCCATCCCTGATGTGCAAAAAGGGGCTTGTGGTGCGTTAGGTTTTCCTTCAGCCAAATTTGGAGAGGTTGGGAGAAGAAAGTAGGTTCCAGGGGGTGGGGAGACAAGCACTTCCACACTTCATTGCTCCAAAAGCAGTCTCTCAGGACATGTAGGCAGGTTTCGACGTGAGTGTGGCATCTAGGGCAGGAGGCTGAAGGAGACAACTTGCGTTCCAATCTCCTGGCATTTGTTAAAAAAGTCTCACTTTTAGCTTGCCAAAGGAAAAACTTAATACAATTAGGCCCATGCCATTTCCATATCACATCCCAATCAAGATCCACATGGTTAGAATCAGTGTAAGGTGGCATAATATATCTGAATAAGTATCAATATAGCTTAAAATAATTGAGGTGATTCAGAAACAAATGTGTACATACTTCTCACATAGGGAATCCCTAACACTTTTTATATTTATTTCTTAATATTATTACATATTTTATACTTTATCTTCAATTATATTTTACTATTTAATTTATTGAATAAATTAAGTGATCAAAATAAAAATTCAAATAGATTCCTAAAATTGGTATGAGTTAGATGAGTGGATATAAGTATTGGTCGACCTAGGTATAATAGAAGTTTAATGAATCAAATAATAAAGAAATTATGTTAGGTTTATATATAGTCTATAACATATTAAATCACAAATAATTTTTTTATTTCCCGTCAAGACGGAGGAAAATAAAAAAAATTCAATTTCAAAGAAACACAAACTAATTTTTATAGAGACAAATATGCTTTCTTTCATTTATCTTTTTAGATGATCCAATTTAATATATCGAGGATTATAGAATGATGATTTTTAATTATAGAATTTGAAAAAAAAAAAAACTATGAAGGAAGTGCATGCGTGCGTAATTTTAATGCTTAATACTAATACGTTATCAATTTTAAAAAAAAAATACTTACATTTATAAATGTACTATTATATAATTTATAATAAATTTAAGTGTTGATATTGTTTGAAAATAGAAAAAATAGTAGGATAAACTTGAGCTGTGGTCCTTTGGTATTCATAATTTTTGAGATGTGTGCAGATTTGTTTAAAATAAAAATTGGAAGAAAAACAAACAACACACTAGAAATGCTAAAGTTTTTTTGGCTTAATTTGAAAAAATATATGATAATACACCAAAATTAAACTTAAAAAAAAGTTCATTAATTGCATATTTTGTGAGTAATGTATTTAATTTTCTAAACCCATACCTAGTAATATTTGAAAAGAAACGTTTCATTCATTAATACATGTCATTATAATTTCGATTCTCTAGTTATTCACATAGCTAGCAGAAGAAGGATACCACATGAATGCAGTCACTTATGACATATATAAGTTTCGCTCACATAAAAGGAAAAGTTCCATTCATTAATACACGTCATCATAATTTCGATTCTCCAGTTATTCACGTGACTAGCAAAAGGATAACAGATGAATACACACTACACAGCCAATATTACAATTTGAGAGAATCTGCCGCTTCAATTGCATTTTTGGCTGTTAGCATAAGTTACCAACAGTAAAAGGTCCCAAAATAGCAAGAAAATATATAATTAATTTAATATTAGGCTACCTACCATATTTACCTAAACTGTTTTAGTATTATATTAAAAGCAGTTTACCAAAATAATATGACTACGTTTTAAACTGTTCTAATATCATATTAAAAACAATTTATCAAATTTGATTGTATTTTATATGCTTTGATTTCTAGATTTGATGATCAAATGATGCGGTCTAAAGTAAAAACTGACACATTATGCACATGCATATTGCTCTCACTCTTATATATACATAACCATATTGAACACTATTTTCATATAGTTTATCTTGCTTATTCTCTGCTCTTAACAAACAGTTCCCAGCTTACAATACTATGGCTAATTCATTGCCTTTGCTGCCTTTCTTGTTCGTTCTATTGCTTGTACCAACACTAGGCAACAAAATTACTTCAACCGTGACAAAAGATTTACTTCCATGCACAATGTGTGCTGAGTGCGACAATCCGTGCCAACCACTGCCACCTCCACCTCCGCCGGTGGTGGAGTGTCCCCCGCCGCCGCCATCACCATCACCACCACCACCACCACCTCCACCACCTGCGATAGTTGAATGTCCCCCGTCACCGGCGGTTGTTGAAAGCCCACCCCCACCAAAGTCATCATGTCCGTATAATTGTGAAATGCCACCTATGGTTCCACCGGGGTTATACTTTCCACCAGGAAGGCCATTTCTAGACCATGTACCAGATAATTACATGAATATTGGAGGAAAGATAATGCCATTTCCAGCGCTGTCGAGTTCTTACTACTTCACAATGCAGTCCTTGATTTCTGTGGCCTTTCTTTGCCTTCCATATTACTTGTTCGTTTAGGTTAATTGTTTCGGTAATTCTTCGTCCGGAGTAATTCTAGTGGACTCATAGATTTGCATGACAATTATGAATGCCAAAAACAGGAACAGAAGTACTTATATGTCAAGCTAGGTGCGGAAGAAGGGATAACATTTGAGTGCACTAGGAGAAGATCAAGGAACATCAATTCCCGTATACTCTAGTTATTGTCAATGGTTGTTTGGCTTTTTATCGTTTGTAAAGCGTTTAATGTTGAAATAATTGTTCCCACAGTTTATTGAACTTTTGTGTCTTGCATTCTGAATGTCTTGCACTAAGATGTTACTTGATATAACATTAAGATGAAATCTTTTTCTTTCTTTTTTAAATCGATTATGGGAATGGTCATTTACAAAGCACTCATTATTATTCCGACAAGAAATTATTGGCATATAATGATGTAAAGGGCAGGATGATTCTGAATTGATTAGTGTTTACTAGTTGTGATGAGGCTAGATGTTGATCAAAAGTGAAAGAAATAATTACCGGTGAATTGATTTTTAAATTTATGTAACGGAAAATTTTAGAAATGAAAAATTAATTTCAATCAAACTCATATAATACCGAGCGGATATTTTTACTATAAATCTATTACATATCTAATCATCATTAGATGAATATTTTTTTTTTCTCTTCATAAATTTTTCAGCATTTTTTCTCTAATGATAATGGGTTGGTAATGGGTTTTTTTATAGTAAAAATACCCCTCTATAATACGAATGAAGTAAAAAA